TCCACGACCCTGAGACAAAAAGAACTGGATGGTGTCCATCTACCACTAACAACTGCTCTAAAAGGGATCGCATTAGAAAGTCTTGGATATAGTGGGAGTAAATGTGGAACTAAACGCAAAATCACTAAAAAAAAAAAAAGGCTTACTGGTTCAGTCGAGTCTGGTAGAACCCCAAGCCTAGTCCTTCAGGTCTGGAACCAAACTGACCTCCACAGCTCAATTTTCAGCCAAGAAAGAAATATATGTATATGGCGGCAGGGGGGCAACAACAATAGTGAGGTACACACACCATAGAATGGTTACCCATTTAAGATAAAAAGGGCAGCATTTACCCCCCCCCCCCCAAAAAAAAAGTTCAGAAGGGTGGAAAAAAAACATATGGAGGAAGTGGGATAAGTGATATTAGACTGAGGGATTATAATCACTGAGATGAAATGAAATGAATAATTTGTTGAAAATAAAACTGATGATCACCTCAGTAAACTACTCATTTTACAATAAGAAGTAAAAAAAAAAAAAGTTGCATCGAGGGATAGTTGGTGTTAAGTGCTGTCGAGTCAATTGCGACTCATAGTGACCCTGTTTAAGGTTTCCAAGGAGCAGCTGAGGGGTTTGAACTGTCAACCTTGTGGTTCACACTCCAGTGCTCATCCTACAGCACCACACCGAAAGTCCATCCTCGAGGGTACAGATTTTATTAAAAACGTACTAGCAGAAGAAATGTTGATCATCCAAGAGAAGGTTGAAGAATGACTGATACTGAGAACTGAAACGGAGTCAAGAATAGTATAGTATTTACTTTACATGACTGTCAGGAGAGCAGATACTTACTCCTATCTTTTTAACTTTTTGTCATGTTATTTTCATGGAACTTTTTTTAACTGGCATCATTTAAAAATTTTTTCACTACTTTCCTCCTAACTTTGCCAAGAACTCCTAAGTAGTATCACAGGGAAATTGAGAAGTATTCCAGTTTCAAAGACTTTGTCTGCTAATAACAAATTTACCTAAAAATAATCAAAAACTCAAGTTTAAAACATGCTATTACCACCAACCTGTCATGTCAGAAATTACTGTTGGATTTTCCTCAAAGTGTTTTGCTGGATGTCTTATAAAATGGTGATTCAAAACAGACAATTTCTTCTTAGAATTCTGGGTTATCTAGAAAAAACAATGATACATTTTATATCCCTTAAAATAGATCATAGGACTCCTGGTATGGTGCTGTAGGATCAGCACTGAACTGCTAACCACAGGTCAGTGGTTTAAACCACAGGTCAGCGTTCAAAGCTGCTCCTTGAATACTCTATGCAGGGTTACCATAAGTCAGAACTGACTCGAACAGCACTTAGCAACAAGACAGACCATGGGAGAAAGATATAATGATCTGCTTCCATAAAGACTACAGCTCAGAAAATCTGATGGGGAAATTCTACATGTTGTCTTTTCAGCAAAAAATAAACTAAAGGACATCTAATAACAACAGCAATTAAAATAATAGGTCAATGTAGCTTTACTTCAGGCGATAATGACAAAACCCAATATTTACTTACTGTAGGCAAAACACTCAATATGTGTTAATTAACTCATTTAATCATTAGTTTAACTCTAGTAAATAGTCACTTTTTAAAAATCTTTATTTTAAATATGAAGAAACTGTAACAAAGAGAAATTAAAGAACTTGTTCAAGGTCACCTGGTTAGTTAAGAGTTTAGCCAAGGATTTAAATCCAGTAGGACTAGATCCCAAGCCCATACTCTTAATCAGTATACAACAGTGCCTCTCAAGTAAGAGTTAAGAAGAAAACATACTTTAAATACTTATAGAAACAGAAGAGCACTTAATAGTCTAGAGATTCCTAACATACTAGTTTCCAAACCCTGGCCTCTGCCAACCACACATGAAAGAGTTCACTGGTCATTATAGAAAATCAAACCTGTCAACTGTTCTTCCTTAGAAATTATTTAACTTTATCCTGTCTTTCTACTCTCTTTGTGTCAAGATACCCTTTTTAAAATAAAATTATGCTAACAGATAGTGACATTTTGGGGTTGTCTAACTTTATGTCCACCACTCATCTGTCAATTTGTCATACTGTCGTTTCTTGTGAGTTGCTGTGATTCTGAAAGTTATGCCACCGATATTTTAAATACCAGCAGGGTCACGCATGGTGGAAAGGTTTCAGATGAGCTTCCAGATGAAGACAGACTAGGAAGAAGGACTGACGAACTACTTCCAAATATTTAGTC